AAAAAAAAAAAAAAAAAAAAAAGAAAGGAACGTTCTCAACCTGATAAAGGGCATCCACAAAAATCCTAAATAAAACATACTTAATAGTGAAAGACTGAATACTTTTTTCTCCTAAGATTAGAAACAAGACGAGCATGTCCTGCTTCACAACTTCTATTCAACATTGTTTTGGAGATTCTAACCGGCGCAATTAAAAAAAAAATTAAAGGCATCCAGAAAAGAAATCCAAAAAAGGAATAAGTAAACCTGTTTTTATTTGGAGGTGATATGATACTATATGTAGAAATTTCTAAGGAATCCACCCCCCCCCCAAAAATCAACTGGAACTAATAAATGATTTAGCAAAGTTGCAGGACAAAAGATGAATACAAAATAGTAGTAGCACAAATCCTGCTTCATTTCTATGTGCTTTTACCTATTCTTGACTTAAGAGACAACTTTTCAGAGCTCCAATGAATTGTTCCATGACCATCCATTTGAGAAGAAAAGGAATAATTTGGATTTTAGAGATTTAAATTTACATAATTACCACCTGAAAAATAAATATTTCCCCATTCTAACGTTTGCAGAGCCTCTTCAGAGATAAGAACAATTGTCAAAATTATCAGTGCTAACCAGCATTATCATGCTGGTCTCTGGCATGATTAGAGGCCAGTGGTGACATTAAATATCTTTCTCCCTATCCCCAAACACAGGCTTCTGAAGAATTCCAAGATCTCTTTGTGAGTCTTACCACTCTGTATTTAGGTTCCACCGGCTGCAGGACATCCCCAAAAGTTTTGCCCTTTGGTGCTCTATCCGCAATATTAGGAATTAAAGTGGTTATCAGTTGTTTGAAAAATGGAGGCTCTGGACCACTGCTCAGGTTGGCAACTGAGTCCTAGAACAGAGAACATTTGCTTAAGGAGCACACAATGTGGAGTCAAAGACCCTTTCCCCAGACCCCCAGCCCTAGAAATGCCTTTATTAAAGGAAACACACACACACACTCTCCAAGAGCTAACTACTGTTAAGAAAATGTGGAATCTTGCTAACATGTGAGCCTAGAAGTCCATAATTTAAACTTTTGTCACTAGAGGAAAGCTTTGGTCATAGGCAACACTTTCACTCCCCTGACAGTAGAGTCCAGTGATCAGAGCGTAAACTGGGAAGCCTGCTACACAGGTTTAGATCCTGGGACAGCCATTTTTAATTGTACGACTTTGGACAGGAGCCTAACACATAATAAGCCTTTGTAACATGACACTGTAATTATTCTTTTCATTTTTAAAAAGTATTGAGCCCCTCTTATTCAGAGTCAGCACCAAGCTTTTTTTCCTAAATCCCTCTCTGTGCTAATTAGAAAATATAGTAAATACATTTTTAATTTAATATTTACAATCAGCCTATATCCTGACTGGTTTGATCTATGCTTCCCACAAAATTTGCCGCCTTTAATAGTGTCATCGAAATGATGATCTCAAATTTTAAACAGCCCTTCATATGTATTTAATGTACTTTAATGCTCACTTTATATATTTAATCTCTACAAGAGTCCTAATACCTATTTGTTATCATTCCCATTTTATAAATAAGAAAACAGACTTGGAGAGATGGTGTTTTTTTTTTTTTTCAAGATCATGTAACTAGTCTTAGACACATAACCATAAAATTGACTGTGAAACAGATTTCCACAAAATGAAATCACACATTTCTTCCTAAATATCACTACAAAATTTGAAAAATCTATTTCCATGGGAAGAGCTATAGACCTATGATTGTAAAAGTTAAACAGCAGTTATCTCTAAGGATGGGTTATAGGTTTATACTTTTCTGTATAATCTGAATATTCTCCAAATAGTTATAGCTTTTATGATGAAAAATAAGAACAGTTCTACTTTGAAAAAAAGTATCAGACCTAAAACTGAGAGGAACGTTATGATAAAACAATAATCAAGTAATTAAAATATATCCTAAGTATGTACCTTGAACTGAAACTTCAAACACACAATCAGCAACTAATTAGGTGGAGGTATATGAAATTACCAATATTCAACTGTTTTGACCTACAGAAACAGCAATTTCATTTGTTTCGATTTAATATATTTAAGCTCTTTCTTTGAAAGGGCTTTATTGGCTTTGCTATGCCAAATTGTTTCACAGCCTTTACTGGGGCTTGTATGGTATTATATAAAGGTCTGTTTATTATTTTAAGCTCTTTATCTTGCTTGTTCACTCATCTTCCGACACCAGGGTGCGGCTTTATAAATAACGTTATCCCAAAGAAAAGATTTCTACAAGTGATGTTCCTTTAAGTAAACTAGTTTAGTGTAGTTACAACACGTATGTACATTTCAAGGTACTGTTGTACTTCTTCAAATCTAAACTTCTATTGATTATAACAACTTTTATTATTTTGAACCACCAAGAAGGTAAAAACATGCTACTGATTATAATTGTAAGATTCCTCTGATTGGAAGATGTGTGCCAATTTCAGAGAGGTTACAATGTGGAAAATGGGCATCTCAGAATTAATGACCTGCTCAGCTTGTGAAGTGATTGGAGAGAATGTGGCTAAGATTAGAGAATATCGGTCCACCTCCCACTTATAACGAGCCTAATCACTTACCATCTCAGAACCTATTTGCTCGTCTGAAAAATGGGAAAAAATGATACCTCCATACTTCCCACGATGACTGTGAGGATGAGATAAATTATATGAATAAAGCTGTCACCACCAAAAGATGTTAACTGAATCTGAATTTACTGCATTTCATTTCTTAGAGACACCTCATAGCTATAAATTTTTTTACATATAAAAGTTTTCAAAGAAAGCAAACACTCAAAGCTAATGTTCTCTTTTGCTTTCCTCTGCATCTCCCCACCCCTGAAACACACATACATACAATTTTTGATTACCGTAGCAATGGCCTTAGCAAGGACTCTGAAGAGCTGGATGTAAGCAGACAGAGTATGTGGTCCATAAATTGTAGATGCTGCCTCATACCGCTGAGCCTGCAGGAGAGGCAGAGTGGTACACCATTCTGCATATCTCGATCCATTTACAGAGGTGTTGCATCTTAGGCGAGGGGTGATGCTTGGACATCTCACATAATTCAAACTGGCATAATTCAAGATTAATTATGACAAAGGAGGGTGGGCATTTCCATTTTCCAGCTAAAGTAAATGGCACCCATCAACTACTTGTTAAAGGCAGTGGGTTCTCTTGGCTTATTTCATTGGGACTGTCAGTCCATTTAATCTGAAAGAGGGTAGTAGCTCCCAAGCTTATGTCTATTTTAAGTATGTACTCGTAATATAAATGTTTTCCCCCAAGGAGTACAGCAAGGGAAAAAAAAAAAAAAAAAAAAAACAAGGAAAAGTAGTAACTCCTGGATAAATTGGGTGGTGATGGTACTATCTGGAGAAGGACTTTTAAGCCATCAGAGACCTATAAAATAGAACCAAATACATCTCCTTCTACCTGAGCTCCAAACCTTTGGTTGTTCCACAGGAACCTCAAATTCACCAAACTTAAGGTGGAACTCATCACTCCAAATATACCAGCTTTCCCTGCAACAGTCTTCATTTCAGTGAATGCCATCCTTCTAGTCTCCCACACCAACATCATCTGGCAGTCATTTGAGACTCCTTTCTCTCCATCATCCTACATCCTATAAGTCTCCAAGTCATCATTTCTTAAAATCTCTTGAATTCTTTTATTTTCCTCTGCCCCTACTGCTTTTACCCTGATCAGACCTTCACTATCACCCAGATCATCAACTACAGCTTCTTAATCAGTTCTCTGCCTCCACACTTACCCTTCCAATTTATTTTCTACACTGCCATCCTAGTGACCTTTCTAAATCACAAATTGGATCAGAGCATTCCTTGCTTTGAATTCTACTGCAGTTTCCCAAACCCTTCCTTATTGAGTCAAAGCTGTAGCATAGCATAAAAGGCTCTGCATCAACTAACCCCCACCTCCTACTCTAACCCCTGTCTCACTACCCTCATCATGCTTATTCCATGGTGCTCAACTAATTATGGCCCTTAAATGTACTAAGCCTGCCCCTCAGACCCTTCGCATATGTAGCTCCCTTAATACGGAACACCTTCCCTAACTTGTATTTGCCTAATCAGCCTTTACTCATTCTTAAGAACTCATACAGATGTTATATCTTCCAGAAAATCTGCCAGTTTCCATTCTCAAATACCCAGTCTAGACTGGTGCTCTTTCTCTTTGTTTTCATATCACCTTGTGCATCTCTTTCACGGAAATGTAATCATCTTCTTTCTTCTCTTTTATTAGACCATAAATTCCAGTGGTCTTGAGGGCAGGGGCAGATTTTTTACTCATTGTTATGCCCAGGTAGTGGCTAGTACTGTGTATCACAACACATACAGGCATGTCTCAGAGATGTTGCGGGTTTGGTTCCAGACCACCACAACAAAGCAAATATCATAATAAAGTGAGTCAACACAATTTTTTTGGTTTCCCAGTGCATATAAAAGTTATTTTCACACTGTACTGTAGTCTAGTGAGTGTGCAATAGCATTAGGACTTAAAAAAAAACCATAATTAAAAAATACTTTATTTCTAAAAAATGCTAACCATCATCTGAGCCTTCAGCAAGTTGTAATCTTTTTGCTGGTGGAGGACCTTGCCTCAGTATTCATGGGTGCTGACTGAGCAGGGTGGTGGTTGCTGAAGGCTGGGGTAACTGTGGCAATTTCTTACAATAAAACAATGACGTTTGCCACATGGATTGACTTTCCTTTCACGAACTATTTCTGAGTAGCACGTGATGCTGTTCGATAGCTTTTTACTGACAGTAAGAACTTCTTTCAAAATTGGAGTCAATCCTCTCAAACCCTGCTGCTGCTTTATCAACTAAATTTAGGTAACATTCTAAATCCTTTGCTGTCATTTCAAGAATCTTCACAGCATCTTCAGCAGAAGTAGTTTCCATCTCAAGAAACTACTTTCTTTGCTCATCCATAAGAAGTAACCCCTCATCTGTTCAAGTTTTACCATGAGATTGCAGCAATTCAGTCACATCTTCAGCCACTTCTAATTCTAGTTCTCTTGCTATTTCTTCTGCATCTGCAGTTACTTTCTCCACTGAAACTTGAACCCCTCAAAGTCATCCATGAGGGCTGGAGTCAACTTCTTCCAAACTCCTGTTAATGTTGATATTTTGACCCCTTCCCCTGAATCACAAATGTTCTTAATGTCAACTAGAATGGTGAATCCTTTCTAGTTTTCAATTTACTTTACCCAGATTCATCAGAAGAATCACTATCTATGGCAACTATAATCTCACGAAATATATTTCTTAAATAATAAGACTTGAAAGTCAAAATCCATGGGCTGCAGAATGGATGCTGTTTTAGTAGGCACGGAAACAACATTAATCTTGTTGTACTTCTCTATCAGAGCTCTTGGGTGACCAGGTGCATTGTCAATAATCAGTAATATTTTGAAAAGAATCTTTTGTTCTGAGCAGTACGTCTCAATAGTGGGCTTAAAATATTCAGTAAAGCATGTCATAAACAGCATGCTTTGTTCCATTTATAGAATACAGGCACTGTATATTTAGCATAATTCTTAAGGATTCTATGATTTTTGGAATGGTAAATGAGCATTGGCTTCAACTTAAAGTCACCAGCTGCATTAGCCCCTAACAAGAGTCAGCCTGTCCTTTGAAGCTTTGAAGCCAGGCATTGACTTCTACCCTCTAGCTATGAAAGTCCTAGATGTCATCTTCCTCCAATAGAAGACTGTTTTGTCTACTTTGAAAATGTGTTGTTTAGTGTAGCCACCTTCATGAATTATCTTAGCTAGATCTTCTGGATAACTTGCTGCAGCTTCTACATCAGCACTTGCTGCTTCACTTTGCACTTTTATGTTCTAGAGATGGCTTCTTTCCTTAAACCTCATGGACCAACCTCCTCTAGCTTCAAACTTTTCTTCTGCAGCTGCCTCACCTCTCTCAGCCTTCATAGAATTGAAGACAGTTAGGGCCTTGCTCTGGGTTAGGCTTTGGCTTAAGGGAATGTTGTGACTGGTTTGATCTTCTATCCAGACCACTAAAACTTTCTCCATATCAGCAGTAATAAAAATAAGCTGTTTCACTTTCTTATCATTTGTGTATTCACCGGAGTAGCATTTTTAATTTCCTTCAAGAACTTTTCGTTTGCATTCACCACTTGGCTAAGTGTTTGGTGCAAGAGGCCCAGCTTTCGGCCTGTCTCAGCTTTCAACATGCCTTCCTCACTAAGCTTAATCATTTCTAGCTTTTTATTTAAAGTGAAAGATGTGCAACCATTGCTTTCACTTGAACACTTAGAGGCCATTGTAGGGTCATTAATTGGCCTAATTTCAATATTGTTGTGTCTCAGGGAATAGGGAGGCCTGAGGACAGGAAGAGAGATGGGGGAACAGCTGGTTGATGGAGCAGTCAGAACACACACATTTATTGGTTAAGTTCACCGCCCTATATGGGTGCAGTTTGTGGCACTCCAAAACAATTAGAATAATAATGTCAAAGATGACTGATCACAGATCACCATAAAAAATATAATAATGAAAAATCTTGAAATATTGTGAGAATTACCAAAATGTGACACAGATATATGAAGTGAGCAAATGTTGTTGGAAAAATGGTGCTGATAGGCTTGCTCAATGCAAGGTTGCCACAATCCTTCAATTTGTGAAAAACACAATATTTGTGAAGTGCAATACAGCCAAGTACAATAAAGTGAGATATGCCTATATCTGTTAAATTAATTAGTGAATAAATAAATTAATTAATTAATACTAATCTTTGGAGGAGCATGTCCCTGAAACAGGAGACAAGCTTGTAGGGGTTCCTAACCTTATTTGTGTCATGGACTCCTTTGGCTGTCTGTTGAGGCCTATAAACCCCTCTCAGAGTAATGTTTCTAAATGTGTAAAGTAAAACACATGAGTTGACAGAGGAACCTGATTAGACTGAAATACATTAATCAAACAATAATAAACCAATTTTGCAATAGAGTAATGTTTATGCTCCTTTATTATGCTATTGAATAACAAGATCTAGTAGTGGATCTAATAACTACTATGATTTTAAAATAGCAATGGGAGTAAAAAATATTTCCAGATCTATAATGACTGTATGTGATATGAAAAATATCTGTGATTGTTATTGGTGACAAAATCAGAGGTACTGCTAATATTATTGTCATTTGTTGTCTATATTCATAACTAAAGAAAATGCTAAATAACATTTAGAAATAAATAAAAAATGGACAAATGAAAAATTATTCCTATCTAAGTTTGCCCCAATTAGGAACCTCTCTTCAACAGGATTTCCTAGAAGGCAGAGACTTTCAGTAAAGTCAGCAGAGAGCAGCAGGGTAGATTCCACCACTGGTATCACTGAACATTTGTCAAGGGGTAGACTGTACACTTCGGTACAAATTGCCAAGATATCCTAGCAGATATGTTAGAAACTACTAATTGTGGGACTCTAGACTGTTTTCATGTTTTTTACTATTGTTATTAAAAAGTACTTGGGCTACTTCCTGTACTATTTGTAAACAAAGAAACATTACCAGCCACCAGCCTCCAGTAAATTCTCTGAGACTCTGTTTCTTAATCTATATCATGATATAATAATACCCTATTCCGGGCTTATTGTGAGGATTACTTAAGATCACATTTGCAAAGTGTTCACCTAGTGCATTCAACAAACAGTAGCTACCAGTGGGCATTTTCCCGGGTTCAGAAGCTTAAAGCACCAGAAGCACTATAGATAGAGTTGGAAATATTGTATACCACAAGCTAGGCTTATTACCAGTGCCCCTGACAAAATAATTCATTTCAGGGAAAGAGGAAGTCAGTGAGACTAGAATTTTGACATGAACTTGGAAATGGTAAACCTAGAACTCCCAAATACAACCTCTGGCTTATTATTCTCTTGTCTGCCCTAAAACAAAATCGTCTCTCAAAAACATGATTAAGGAAGTCTAGAAAGAAAACCTGCACTTGACACAATTTTGACCAGGGCATAATTCATTTAAATGATGAGAACTTTTTACTTTACCTGGTATTCTTCATAGGTGGTAATGTAATGTGTATAGACATTGCATAGACCTGAAGTAACGACAGTCATGTTCTGCATCCCATAAGATGCAAATTCCTAAGGAGGGGAGGTAGAGCCCAATAAAATTACTCTTCATCATAAAGTATGTTATCATCCCAGTTATACTTAATGCACAATCATAGATACAAATCAATAATGTAAGATGTCTCTCTTAGCAATATTCTTCCTAATGATCAAAACTGCCTGGAAATGGAGAAGTATTAAAGAGTCTTCAATGAAAATTTGGAGCCATAACTCTGCACTACATTTGGGCAAGTCAATGGATCTATGAACATCTTAATGCTTGCTTTTGCAGATGTAAAATCTTCTTATTACTAAAATACAGAGATTTTATCAATTTCCTAAAAAATATTATGGGTAAATATTGGCTAACCAGAGTAGTTATTTCCAGCTTCAAGTAATAAGACATTTGTTGACTATGTCATTTTAGAGCCATTGACAATACTTCCTGAATATAAACAAAATCATGAATATAGATAAAATACAGAATTCGCAGAATGTGTTAGACTTTCTTTAGACAGGACTTTAAGATATGAAGGTACCTAGAGGTTATTTACTATTTAATGCATAAGACTATTATCAATTTTTAAATTATTAATACATAAATACCAATAAAATATTTTTAACCTGACCATAATTCTCTTATAAAGTTTGTTCTTATACCACCAATATTTCATATTCACCTCTACCCATTACTTTCAAGAAGGGTAAACCTCTAGTCATCTTAGAAAAAATTCATTTAGATAACAGAAAGGAAATGATGTTCTTTGGAACATCAAGAAGGAAAAAAGAACAGGGCAAGCAAAAATATGGGTAAATAAAATAGGCTTTCCTTTTCTTATTGATATTTTGAAATTATGTTTGACAGTTTAAACAAAAATCATAGCACTGTCTGATGTGGTTATAAATGTATGTAGAGGAAATATTTAAGACAGCTAGTATATTATAAATGGGGGAGGGTAAAGGGAGATAAGATCCTGCACTTCACTCAAACAGTTACACGAGAACACTAGCGATTATTTAACCAGTGATAAGATAGATATATTATGTGTATACATTCACACACATGTACTCAAAGACACTATAGATATATCAAAATAGAATTCTTAAATGAAATAAAAAGCTTCTGGAATATTTCATGATATCCTGGAGAGAAGATGGGGGAGAGGGGATGTTTTTATTGACTGAATTTAATCCTTAACATGATTACAATTAATTAGATTAAATTTTTTCAATACACAGAAAAAAATTTCGTTTAAAAGGTACTAGATCATAGGGACAGCAAATTCTTTTCTCTTCACAAAATATAAATGCATAGATATTTTATTTCATTTTTAACTTACTGCTTGAACTGCCTCCCGAAATCTTCGTCCAGACATGGTCCTTAGTCAAGAAAACAGAATCATCTAAGTGTTTTGCTATCCAGAATGTACGCAAAGTATACAGAAAAACTTGTAGTGAAAGCCAAAAAGCTACCCTGGCTCATCACACAATACTAAAGTATGTACGAACTCAGTGACGATGCAAAGCTAAAGTTGAGCTTTTTTTCCTGTCTACTCTATCTTCAAAACAAATCCAAAACTGAAAAAGAGCCAACATGAAGGTGGGAAACAGAATCAACGAATATCACTAGCAAAAGATCACAATCATTTTCCATTTGTTGATTCAACAAAATATATTGGTTGCATTCTGTGTTAATAAGAGCTGAGGCAAGTAGAGAGTGTACTATTCCTGCCTACAAAGAACTTACCATTTCATTCATTCATTTAATCCTTCAATAAAACACTGAGTACCTAATACAAACCAGGCCCACTTCTAAGTTCTAAGGATTCAACAGTATTGAGTTTACATCCCAGGCAGGGAAGTTCATCAATAAGCAAATAAAAAATTGAGATGATGGGGCCGGCCCGGTGGCATAGCAGTTAAGTGCACTGGCTCCGCTGCAGCGGCCTGGGGTTTGCAGGTTCGGATCCCGAGCACACATCTACGCGCCGCTTGTCAAGCCATGCTGTGGCGGTGTCCCACATAAAGTGGAGGATGATGGGCATGGATGTTAGCCCAGGGCCAATCTTCCTCGGCAAAAAGAGGAGGATTGGCGTCAGATGTTAGCTCAGGGCTGATCTTCCCCACAGAAAAAAAAAACAAAAAGTGAGATGACAGTAAGTGCTATGAAGAACAATAAAATAGGGTAATGATAAAAGGGAGTGATGGTTGTCATTGTGGTGATGATGATGGTGCTGGTGCTGATGCTGGTAGTGATGTGGTGGTGGTGGTGGTGGTGGTGGTGGGTGAAGACAATATATAGTATATGCAGGACTGGCATCTCTGTTAGAGATTTGAGCAGAGAATTGAAGGAATAACAGAGTTGACCATAGGGATAACTGGAGGATAAGTGTTCCAGGCAGAAGAAACCTTAAGTTTAAAAGCCCTAAGACAGGAGCATACTTGATGAGTCTGGGAATTGCGATGAAACCAAGGTGACTGAAGCAGAGATGAGCAAAGAGTATGAAATCAGGTCAGAGAGGTTGCTGAGGAGAAGATCACATAAGGCCTTGTAGGATAAGGGTTTGAAGATCTAGCTGGAGCAAGATGGGAAGCCACTGGAGGGTTTTGAGCAGTGATATGATTTAAGTTATGTTTTAAAGGGATTACTCTGGCTGTTGTGTTGAGTAAAGAAAATAGAGGAGGAAGGGAGGAAGCAAGAAGGTGAGACAGGGTGTTATTGCAGTAATCTAGGGGAGAGATAATGGTGGCTTAAAACAGTGGGGGAGTGATAGAAATGTACAGAATTTGCTGAAGGATTCAGAGAGGAAAATTGAAAAAGAGAATTCAGGGATGACTCTAAGATTTAGGGCCTGAGCAACTGAAAAGATATACAACTGCTACTTAATGAGATAGGAAAAACTGCATAAGGAGCAGATTTAAAATATCCTTTCTCGCAATAAAAACTCTTATGACCTACTCTCTTAACAACTTTCAAATATACCATCAGCAGTGTTAACTCTAGTCATCATGTTGTACATTTCATCACCATATTTATTTATGTTACAACTGGAAGTTTGTAGCTGTTGACTCCCTTCATCCAATTCCCCTGCCCAATCCCTTTTTTTTTTTTGTATCTATATGAGATGATGAATGTTACTAAACTTATTGTGGTAATCATTTCACAATATATGTAAGCCAAATCATTATGCTGTACACCTTAAACTTATACAGTGCTGTATGTCAATTATATCTCAATAAAATTGGGGAGGGGAAAGCACATTCTTCCATAATTCTAGTATCTAAACTGATTGTTTCAAGTACCTGTATTTTAATACTATTTAGGTCTTTCTATTGACATGATAATTCACAGCATCATTTTAATCTGGAATGATGTTTTCAAATTTTCATGTTTGTTTCAAGTTACCCACCAATAATAGGCATAAAGAGATTTATTCCTTAGAGGCCCCACCAAAAGAGGGTGGGAATATTTGTCACTGTTGCCAAACTTAGTACAGTAAGATACAAAGGACTCAGTACAGAATTATCTGCCCATGATAAGAACTGATTCCAACAGAAACACATACACAATAAACATATCTTTAACTGCAAAATAAAAAAGAAGAACTTACGTAAACTCCCCAGGGATGGCAGTTATAGCCAGGGACCCAAGAGTAATAATCTGAATATCAACAATATCTGGGTGCCAGGGATGAGGTATTGACAGCTAGGAACCCAAAACATGAAAACTGTGTTAGGAATATTACTCTTTCTATGATCAAGAGACAGATGATGTTCACAGAAGTTCATTCATTAAAGGATTTAAAATGTTTCCAGCTGGTTTTTGATATTTTAGCCTACTATCATAGATTTTCTTTCTAATTCATGATGTAGTATTAAATATTCTATCTAGTCACTCATGTGAATCTCAAATGCCAAAGCCCCATTAACCTGGACTTATTTTCTCATCAAGGAAGTTTTTGGTGGATTTGTCATTGTGGAATCATGATGTGTAACAGATAATCAATGGTTCTCCTGGAGTACTGTGTGACTATCCTCATACAATACGAATAAGGAATTCCGTCATTTGGAATAGGTTAACTTAATGATTTCTCTTTTTACTCTAACACTTGAAATTTTCAGTTACCGAATCTTGTCATACTTTCCAAGTTTTCTCTAAGAGAATCTACCCTTTTCCATATTCAGGTTAGTGTAGAATCTTTCCCTCTATTCCTTCCTTTCCTCTCTTTCTTCTTCTCACAGAATTTTAATGGAATATTAGAAAAAATTATATTTAAAAAATTTTTCTACATCAACAATCTATGATTTTATGAACACTGGCATGACATTTTGACATTTAAAATGTGAAAATCTATGTTCCAAAAGAGTGTAAAAGAATATTGTTTTAGTTAATACTGTTGCCTGAATTGTGAGAAAATTGAGACGTGAACATGTTCCTTTTTATATGACCTGAAATTCTGTGTGAACTCCTACCGTGGAGTCAGCATAAATGAATCCTGAATAAGATAAAAGTTCATCTTATTCTTCCTTTTCCACCATTCTAGTTGTTTTAGTTATTTATCATAGATGCAAAAATCTAAGTCAGTATATTTACCAATAATACCCCTTACTCATAGAATCATATTTTTAATGTTAAAAATTTGATGTGGGAATATTGGCATAAGACCTCCCATGTCAACAGAGATCTACCATTCATTTCTGATAACTCATAAATTTAAAAATAACAATATATTGATTTCACCATGATAATCAAAATGCATTACCTCTCCAGTGTGAAAAAGGATTGGCTTTGGTTTATGACATTCTTTGATTTCTTCAGATGGGTTGCCCAGGATCTGATCCCGAATAGTGTCCCAAAATGGATTCCCTTCCACTGTCCCTGTTAGAAATGTTATGATTAATATGACTCTAATCCTCTGAAAAATGTCACATTTTGACAAATATTGTACAATGTTATTCAATGATTCCAAACATCTTGAATAACAGAAGAGGCAAAATTTCCTGTGCATCCTAAGATAGGAGAATGGATTTAATTAGATCTTCAGTGCAGTCAATAGAATAAGACAATATATTTTGTTCAACATTCTTAAAGTTTAGTTTCTATTGCTATCCCTCCTCCATGTTGCAAATAAAAATAATATGACATAATTAACTGTAGATCTATGAACTAAATCACCCTTTTCCTGTTTTTAAAACTAAAAATGACACATCCAACTTGAAGTACCAGTTGTTTCAATTATGGTCCCTAAAAGAGCCTCTCTTGAATCCCCACTTAATTATCTACACACACACACTCACACAAGCAGTAAAAAAACAAAAGTCAAGCATAAATTCAATAATCTGAGGAAAAGTTTTGTTAACTATAAAATCTGTGAACTTAGAATCTACAGTCCATTAGGAAAATATAACAATTATAAACATATATGGACCTGATAATAAAGCACCAAAATACAAGAACCAAAACTGACAGAAATGAAGGGAGAAATAGAAAATCAACAATAGTAGTTAGAACTTGAATAACCCACTTTCAATAATGGATGAGACAACTAGTCAGAAGATCCACAGGGAAATAAAAAACTTTAACAACACTAGAAGCCAACTAGACCTAACAGATCCCTACAGAGCACTCCATCCAAGAACAACATAATATACACTCTTCTCCAGTGCATATGGAACATTACCCAGGGTAGACCATGTGCTGGCCATGAAACAAACGTCAATAAATTTTAAAGGGTAGAAATAATACAAAATACGTTTTCCAATGACAATGTAATGAAATTAGAAATAAATAACAGGAGAAAATTTGGGAAACTCACAAATATGCAGAAATTAAGAAACATGATCATAAGTAGCTAATGGTCAAGGAAGAAATCAAAAGAACATATGAAAATACTTTCAGATGGATGTAAAGAAAGACACAGTATACCAAAACTTGTAGGATGCAGTAAAAACAGTGCTCAGAGGGAAATTTATAACCTTAAACTGCAAAAGAAAGACACAGTATACTAAAACTTGTAGGATGCAGTAAAAACAGTGCTCAGAGGGAAATTTATAACCTTAAACTGCCCATATTAAGAAAGAAGAGGAGACTGACATCAGCAAGATGGAAGAGTAGAAAATACTAGCCTTTCCCCCACCCCCCACACACACAAAAAAACAATTAGAAAGCTATTAACAAACGAAAATAGCCCTGGGAGGGCTCAAGAGCCCAATTAAGAACCTACAGTAACACAGCAGAGCAAAAAACCAGAATAACCACACAGAAAGGATCACTGGGGAGATTAGTTTAGCTGAGACATCTCAAGATCTATGAACAAAGAAGGGTGGAGGCTATCAGTATCAGCCACATAGCAGGTGCCATACACACAATTGAGGTAAACAATGGCCATTGCCACCACAGACCCCCTAGAGAGGGAGATGCTGCTCTACTCACAACATAAGAAGCTGCTATTGCACCACCCTGGGACCAGAGCTGCCAGCCATCTCAACCCCACGCACACCTCTGACTCCAGAGCCCCACTTACTCCATGCACACTCATGTTTCAGACCCCAATTCCGCGGCTACACTGTGTGTCCCTTTGCTCCAGACCTCAGATCTGCAATGCTTTGCATATGCCTGCATCTCAGGCACTGGCACCACTGCTGCTGCAGGCTAGCTGTTGTCCTGGACCCCAGAGTCACTGTCCTCTATAAGTGCACGCACTCCAGTCCCTAGCTCCATGGCTGCTCCACGTGTGCCCACACCCCAAACAGAGCCATTGCTGTTGCTGGTGAACCAGTGCACTAAACCCTGGAGCTGCTATTGGTCTGTTAGTGCTTGTACTCCTGATCTCAGCTCTGTAACTGTTCCATGGGTGCCCACGCATCAGATATTAGTGCCACTACCACTGCAAGGGCACCTGCAAGCCAAACCTACTGCAAAAAGAGATTCCCCTCAACCCTGACATCCTGCTTGGGAGAAAAAGAGATCAGGAGGTTCCCAACAGCCTTCACCACTGAAGATCCCAAAAGTGCTAGTGGCAGCTGAAGATACTCACAGTCTTAGCCTTTGGGGACCCATACAATCTTCACCAATTCTGACCTAATCTGACAGAGCTATGTGGAGACTATGCCACTTGTCCTGCCCTGGAGCTAGAACTGCCACAGCCCACTCAACCAATGCCCTTGTACCCACTGACAGGTGAAAGTCTTTCCCTACCAAAACCAGTCTGTAAAGTCTAGAAGAAGTGAAGGCTCCATTAAATGCTCAGACAAAACAAAGCTACAAGAAATATCAATAAAACATGACACAACCAAAGGAATGCAATAATTTTCCAAAAACTGACCTCCAAAGAAATAGAGATCTACAAATTGCCAAAGAATTCAAAATAATTGCTCTAAGGAAGCTCAGTGAGCTACAACAGAACACAGATAGACAACTCAACAAAATCAGGAAAACAATATATGAACAAAATGAAAAGTTCAACAGAGAGGTAAAAATAAAAGGGAACCAAATAGAACTTCTGGAGCTGAGGAATAGAATAAATGAAATGAATAATGCAATAGAGAGCATCAATAGCAGATTTGATCAAGCAGAAGAAATAATCTGTGAAGTCAAAGACAAATCATTTGAAATTATCCAATCAGAAGAGAATAAAAAAGAGTGAAGAAAGCCTACATTAATGTTGGGACACAAAATGCTAAAGGGAGTTCATCAAGTTGAAATGCAAGGATGCTATTAGTACATAAAACATATAAAAGTATAAAACTCACTGGTAAAGGTAAGTACATAGTCAAATTAAGAATACTCTAATACTGTAACGGTGTATAACTCACATAACTCTAGTATAAAGATAAAAGGTGAAAGTATTAAAAACAACAAAGGTTACGATAATTTTTTAATGGATACGCAGTATAAAGGAGTAAATCATGACATCAAAAACATAAAATATGGGGAAAGAGGATAAAAGGGTAGTTTTTGTATGTGATTAAAGTTAAATTATCAGCTTAAAATAGGCTATTATAACAATAAGATGCTTTATGTTAAGTCTCATGGTAACCACAAAGCAAATATCTATAGTACATACACAAAAGATAAAGAGGAGGAACTAGAGCATAACAAAACTGAAAATCGTTACATCACAAAGAAAGAAAGAGAGGCAGGAAGGAACAAGCAAACTACAAAACAGCCAGAAAAGAATAAGATGGCATTAGTAAGTCCTTACCTATCAGTAACTACTTTAAATGGAAATGGATTAAATTCTCCAAACAAAAGGCATAGAATGGTTGAATGGATTTTATAAAAAAGACCCAACTATCTGCTGCCTACAAGAGTCTCACTTCAGCTTGAGGAATACACATAGGCTCAAAGTAGCCTTGCAAAGAGATGCAAAAATATATTCCATACAATTGGAAACCAAAAGAGAGGAGTGGTATCTTTACGTATATCACAAAAAACAGACTTTAAGTCAAAAACTGTAACAAGAGATAAAGAAGTACTCATTATAATATGATAAAGGGGTCAATTCATCACGAGGATATAACAATCATAAATATTTATGCACTCCACACTGGAGCATTTAAATGTATAAAACAAGTATTAACAGGAGCCGGCCCGGTGGTATAGCGGTTAAGTGCGTACACTTCGCTGCGGCAGCCCAGGGTTCATAGGCTCGGATCCCAGGCACACACCAATGTACTGCTTGTCAAGCCATGCTGTGGTGGCATCCCATATAAAATAGAGGAAGATGGGCACAGATGTTAGCCCAGGGCCAATCTTCCTCAGCAAAAAGAGGAGAATTGGCATTAGATGTTAGCTCAGGGCTAATGGTCCTCACAAAAAATTAAACAAGCATTAACAGATTTAAGGCAGAAATAGACAACAATACAATAATAGTAGGAAACTTCAATAATCCACTTTCAACAATAGATAGATCCATCCAGACAAAAAATCAATAAGGAAACAATGGACTTGAACTATACCTTAGACCAAATAGACCTAACAGACATATACAGAACATTTTACCAAACAGCAGCAGAATACGCATTCTTCTCAAGTGCACACGGAACATTCCCCAGAATACATCTTATGTTAGGTCATCAAACAAGCCTTAGCAAATATAAAAAGATTGAAATCACACCAAGTATCTTTTCTAACCACAAGATATGAAACTAGAAATCAATTAGGAGGAAAACCAGAAAACTTAAAAATGTGTGAAAATTAAACAACACACTCCTAAACAACCACTGGATCAAAGAAGAAATCAAAAGGGAAATAAAAAATATCTCAAAACAAATGAAAATGGAAACACAACATACCAAAACATAGGGAATGTAGCAAAAGAAGGCAGATTATAGTAATAAACCCCTACATTATGAGAATAAGGAAGATCTCAAATAAACAACCTAACTTTACAACTCAAGGAACTAGAAAAAGAACAACAAAGGAAGCCCGAAGTTAGTAGAAGGAAGAAAGTAACAAATATTAGAGCAGAAATAAATGAGATAGAGACCAGAAAAACAATAGAAAAGATCAATGAAACTAAGAGCTAGTTTTTTGAAAAGACAAACAAAACTGACAAAACTTTAGCTAGACTAAGAAAAAAAGAGAAGACACAAAGAAAATCAGAAATGAAAGATAAGCTATTACAACTGACACCAAAGAAATATAAAGGATCATAAGAGATTACGAGCAATTATATGCCACCAAATTGGATAACCTAGAAGAAATGGATAAACCCCTAGAAACATAAAAGCTACCAAGACTGAATCATGAAAAAATAGAAAATTTGAACAGACTAATAATGAGCAAGGAGATCTAACCAGTAACCAAAAACCTCCTAACAAAGAAAAGCCCAGGACCAGATGGTTTTACTGGTGAACTCAACCAAACATTTAAAG